TCCTTCATATGTGGAAATACTGGGTATTTTCTTCACTCTCTGTGACTGAACAGACCTGCAGGGCAGCAAAGCTAAATAGAGTATATGCAACTGTAGAGGCGGGCATTAAAGCAAAACTGTTGCTGTGACCTGCATAGATAAAGCACAGGGCTGCTCTAAAGTAATTCCTGATCTGTCTTAAACTTTTTTTGCATGCTTGCTCTTTAATATTTTTGTTACCGTTTTAAACTATTGAGATCTGTACATTGTCCACTAGAGGGAGCCAACACTTGAATGTTAAAAGAGAACTATGGCCAAACTTTTTTTTTTTTGGCTTTATTTCGCTTTTGAGTCACAGGAGTACATTTGCAAATGTACTCCTGTGACCCAAAGTCAGCATATAGAGGGCTACTGCAATATTGTCGGGATCCACACTGTGCCTGATTGACAGCTGGATCTACCTCTCTAGAGGCAGAGCCAGCTGTGCCTGCCCCCTCCCCTGTCTGTCCCTCCAATGAGCACTGGAGGAACGGGAAAGGGAGGGGGAAATCCCTGCAGGGAGAAGACCATGAGCTGAGTGATCAGCGGTTTGTGATCGCTCAGCTCTCGATCTTTAGAGCCGGCATTTGACAGCTGCAGTGTCGCGCGTGGGCTGAAACTATTGGAAAAGAGTGTATTTTACTCTCCCGGTAGTCCGCCTCTCTTCTCGGCCCACTCTTAGGGGATGACTTATGAATGATCCACCGAGAGAGAGACTGGCTGAATTCCATGCATAGCATTCTTGCCACTAGGTGGAGCCGAGGAGCATAGGAATTGCTCCTCAGCTCCAGACCTTTGTATGACCTTCTTTAAATAATAGCAAGCGGATCTCCTTTATGTTTTCTATCAGATTGTTAATTACTTAATAATTAACTTAACTCAACTTTAAACTTTTTTTTTTTTTCCTTGTAGGAAACTGAAAAACTGGAACAAGAAAAGTCTGGCCTGCAGAAGGAAATCGCCGAACTGCAGAAAGAAAAAGACAAACTGGAGTTCATGCTCGTTGCCCACTCGCCCATGTGCAAGATTCACCCGGAAGAGCGGACGAGCGCCATCCACAACCCTCACCCTGTCCGTACAGTGATGGGCAGCAGGGTAGTCGTCAAACAGGAACCGGTTGAAGAAGACATCCATACATCTTCTGTCACCGCCAATGACAAGTCTTACAGGTCCGTTATTAAGCCAATCAACATTGGAGGAAACTTCTTCAATGAGGAGCCTCTCAACACGCCGGTGGTCATGTCTTCTACACCTCCAAGCACTCCTAACACTGCCAACCTCGTCTTCACCTACCCAAGTGTACTGGATCAGGAATCTTCAGCCTCTCCTTCTGAGTCTTGCTCTAAAGCTCACCGTCGAAGCAGTAGCAGCGGTGACCAGTCTTCTGATTCCTTGAACTCCCCAACCCTTTTGGCCTTGTAACGAAGACTTCGGTTTCTGTCTTGAATATCAGGAGATGTCTAGGGGGTAGACAGCCGGTGGCAGGAGCTTCCCAACTATGGACAAAAAAATAAATTGTAAAAAATGTATTGCAACTGGATTGGCCATAGTTCAGATGCTTCAGTGTAGCTTGGACATTCTCGGGTTGCAGATGAAGGCTGCAGAAGACCAGACGTTTCATTCTTCACAATTATTAAACTCCCACGTGGGCCCAGGTGGGGTTACATTATTTCCAGCAGCTTGTTGACCCAAGCCATTTCACTTACTCTTTACCGGTCGAAGATTACTGTCTCTCTCCTTTTTTTTCTTTGTTCTTTTGTGTTCTGGGCACTTTAAGGGAATATCTATTTTGAGGATTTACTCTTCACTGGATGAAGGTACAAATGATGTATTTTATTATTAATTTGTTAAAATTAGGTCTAAGACTTTGCCATGCTGTAAACAGACAAAAAAAAAGCCATGAAAAAAGTTTTGGCTGCACACAATCACTACTGGAGAAAAATACAACGCCAGCATAGCTCATGCCACGCCAAAGACTGTTTTGGAACACAGCGTTCTGGTAAACTCTCAGAAGATGTTTGGAGGAGGATCGGAGATTGGAAACAGTTGGTTAAAAAACAAAAAAACTTGGCAATATAATATGCCCTTGTGCCTTTTGGATTAAAGCGAATTTCTAATGAACAGTTGACAATCTGTTTGGGAATCTGAAGTATTGTCTTTGTAGTCAGTTTTAAAGGTCTTAGTTTACTCCATATTATTACTCCATTTTCGGACGGGTTTGCCCACCCCCTTCTACTGCCTGTTGGGGACCATAGTCAACTTTCTTAGTTCGTTACAGACTTTTCTGCAGTGTGGAGAAAAAGGGAGCTGGCATCTTAATTGTTGTTGCTGCAAAGAACCGGCGACAATTACGGGTTGTGTAGCCAGTTAGGGTCCTTCATCCATGTTTTATACCTACTCTTTGTGCTTGATGTCTCCTAATGGCAAAGTGTTGATTTTGTGGAGTTTTGGGGTGTTTTGGGCAGAGGTTTAATGTCTCAATATTTGGTACATATCGCTTACTGAAACAAGTGAGGGATATTAAGAGCAAGTTTGAAATGTTTTTGAGGGCAGTTGTACATTCCTTGGGAGTATGACTAAATTTTATTTCTCAGAAGATATTTGGACTCTCACGATATCCTTTTATTTAAATTTGGGTTGACTTATCATAAACAAGTTGTTGTACACCGTAGAACCAATGGGAGCAGTTAAAGTGGCACAGATCCAGCCAACTGATGGTCAAAATGGACGTAGCCTTGAAAAATAGCTTGGATGGGTGTGTTTATACACTTTTTTTCGAATATGGGGATGTCGGGAAAAGTGTTTTTGTACTGAATTGCTGTTTCTGTATTACCTGACACTGATTAATTGCCATGCGTGTACCACGCTTCCGCAATAGTGTTGGCCATGTTTTATGGGAAAAGGAAGTTCAAGTATTTTTGTACTACATCCCTGCTGCTAACAAAATCCTTTTTATAAAAATTCAAGTGTCTTGGACATCAGAGTGAAGCGCTGGCCAAGTGGTCAGCATTGAAAAACAACCCTAGTACAGACCTAGTCATGCCAATGAGTCACTCATTCCTGTGGGCACAGATCATTCTATAGAAAGCACTTTGAGTTCATGATAAGGCTTCACTCTATCTTGATGTCAGTCTAGTTCAGTCGGTATGATCCTTCCCAAAAAACAAAAGAATGCCTTTTTGTCTCATTCTTGTTCTGTAGCGTCACAAAAAGGAGGCAATTTTCAATAACACTTTTTGAATGTCAGTTTTGCACTGTGATAACTTATTAGTGATGCACTTGTCATTGTTCTTTCAATAGAAAGGCCCCCAAAAAATAATAATAATATAAAAAAAAAACTATGTATATTTTTTCCAAATGTCTTGATGGTTTCCTGGTCTGCTTTTGTAATATTATGTAGCTACTGAATCCTGTTTAGTAAAATGTTTATTTGCTGTCAGGGCACCATTTTCGTGTAAAATTTCTGAAGTACTGAAGGGCGCAGTGTAGCCAATTTGGGTCTCTGCCGGTTTTGTAGGACAAGTCACAATTATTATTCATACGGAGCACAAGTCTGTGTAGTATAGACGTACCATGCCAGGAATAGCTCACAAATGATGATGTACAGTAGCTGCACACACTATAATGGCATAGGTTTTGTACCACCAAATCAATTGTCAGTATCTCTTTAAAGGTCTATGAACCCTAAAGCCTAAGTTGGCTTTTAAATGGACTCTTCATGAATTTTTGTAGTTATAAATGTCAAAGCACAATGATATTCCAGGTATTTTTTATATCCCCTGAGGAGATGCTGTATGTAGTGTACTTTGGGAGAACACTATTCGCTTTGGAACTTGTTTTATTTTAGGTTTACCGGGCCTTTGAAGCAGAAATAAAGTTTTTTTTTGTTTTTTAGTTTTTTTTAAAATTATTATCATGCACTCACTCTGAAATTGCAAGTTAAAAACCATGTATGCACACTTGGAAAACTAGCAGGGTTATTCACAAAAGGGTGAAGAGTTTGGAGAAGGCAGGAGAAGTGAACAATCTAGGCCAACATAGCTGAACTGGAAAGTGAGCTGAACTGGAGGATTTTTCTAGTTCAGCGATGTTGTCCAAGATTGTTCACTTCTCCTGCCTTCTCCAAACTCTTCACCCTTTTGTGAATAATCCTGTAGGTGTCTTGTAGCTTTTCTAAAATGTTTCCCTGCTGTTGTGCTTGACCTAGGATTCTCTATGACCTCTTGGCTTCAGCTCTGCTGGCTGAGCAGCTCTGAGGTCATAGGCTTTGCACACCTTTTCTCTCAGAGATGCCTTTAGCTCTCACATTTGCATAAGGAACAGAGCCCGGTATTGCACAGAACAGTTTGGCCCTTCCCAGTCTCACCCTGTGATCTCATTTTGATTGACAGCTGCATTTAGTAAAACAAGTAACAACTGGCTGATGAAAGAGCAGATGAGATGTAGGATTAGGGTAGAGAAATAACGTGCCCAATTCCTGGCAAGAAGTTAAAAAAAAAGGTTTCCGACAGAGAACTTCCTGTGAGAATGATTTAATCACTTCCCCCTGATGGTAGCACTGGCTTCATCACCTCCCACTAATGCTGATAAACAGGCTAGGCCAATGGCATATGGATAACCTAAAATATGAATGACACAAAAGGCATATGGGTAACCTTATATATGGACAGTGCAAACGGAAACGCAGGTTTGCAAGTGCACAATTTTTTTACTTGCATTTTCAGAGTGTTTGCCTTAAATAAAAAAAATGATACTTCAGTTCTTGTGTAAAGTGGCTCTTGTCTTTGGTTATCTTTCGCAAAACTGTATTGCCAACAAAACCAACTAATTTATGTTTTGTTTTTTTAAAATTTGTGGAGTGACTTGTTCTGTGAGTAATGTATGCATGTGTTCTTATATTATGACTTTAAATGTTGAGTGTGCAGGCTGGTCCTGGGCTGAAATGGAAGAATTTTTAGTTTGCTGTCGAAAGGAAAATATTTGTAAAGCGAGCAAGTAATACTGTGTGGTCCTGAGCTGCATAGGCTTGAAATCTGTAAGCACAGCAGGCGCTGCCCTTGTGTGATTTTCCAATTCAACCTTTTTTTTTTTTTTTTTTCTGTCTTGCTGATACACGTGTTAGGGCTGGAAACACTACATTCTGTAAGATGAACACAAACTTAATATTTCATCAAGACAAAAACCCTGTTAGACGTGCATTTAATAGGCCCCTCCTACTTTTGTGATGTGACATTTATTTAAAAAAAATTATTTTGCTCAACTAGAGCATGGAGACGTGATGGTTTAGTAGTGTTAGGAACACTCCCAGCTCATCTATTCTCTCCCATAATTCCTTCACCACCTCCCACAGCTCTTTGTCATTCTCTAAGGTGTGAAATCTCCTTGTAAAACTTTAACTTGTGTTGTGGACCTCTGGCTCATTTGATAGGATTGACATCAATGTGGGTGTGGTCAGACCTTTAAAACCGCCATCAGCCTGACAGTGGGTGGGGAAGGAGTGGACCTAAATTTTTTAATTTGCTCGTAAAATGTGGAGCATCTACATTGTGCATTCCTCTGTGCCGGAGATGGCTAATTACATTGCTAGCATCCCTTTTAATTGTATATCGGTAATTACAACACAACATTGCTTAGAAAAGACTTCCTCCTCCCGTTTAAACACCCGAGAGGTAAAATGACTATAGAAATAGCACATTGTTTGTACAATATTAAGAAATAAACTAAACATGGCAACAAAACCTTAATTTTCAAGCAATCTGTTACTTTGGCAGTGTTGGCAGAAGCCAATGCCAACTATGAATGGCTCAGTTAATCAACAACTCACCAATTGATATAATAATCAGTGAACAGAAACTCTGCTCCAGTCCTCCCCCCCCCC